TCCGAGAAATTTCTTGGGTCAAAATCGAAGAATGACCATGTAGGAGTTGACCTAGGTCAATTTTGTATATTTTTCGATTTCTGCAATAAAAATTTTTCCGAGAAATTTTTCGGGTCAAAATCGATGAATGACCATGTAGGAGTTGACCTAGGTCGATTTTCTATATTTTTCGATTTCTGCAATAAAAATTTTTCATAAAAATTTCTCATGCCAAAAATCGAAGAATGACCATGTAGGAGTTGACCTAGGTCGATTTTTCATATTTTTTGATTTCTGCAATAAAAATTTTCTCGACAAATTTCTCGGATCAAAAATCGATAAATGACCATGTAGGAGTTGACCTAGGTCGATTTTTTAAGATAGGATAATAAAAATTAAAAAAGTGTTACGTACATTTAATTTAAAATTTAACATACAAGTTAACATGCGGGCAAATATACATATCAAATTGGTATTTGATGATATTGTAGTATTAATTTATATTAAACAGTATAAATTAGTTAATGATTAAGCCAATCATTTTTTTATATGATCATTGCTTCTTTATGACAACAAAAAATTAATTAAAAATATACAATTGGATTTTAATATTGATATAATATTGGATCATTATTATCGATAGAATTTAACTTAACCCACAAAAATCGGACAATCTAGAGATCAGGTTCAATCCTTATAATATTAATATTTCCTTTAGAATTATTTCGCTTTACATTAGAGAATATTTTTGAATTAATATTTGCTTCAAAGCAAAATTTAGTTAACTATAAACTTTAATTAATCCTTTCATTCTTAATTGAATGAAGCACACAAGTTAATCTTGCCACATTTGATTATTTCGCGCGGATATATGTATATGGAATAAAAATTCCAATCTATCATGCCCGGTCGCATTATGACGATGCCACATGAGCCGATAGCGCAATTATGCGATATTTGCTCACGCGTATATTTCAATTAAATGAATGCTTATGGTCGGACTAATGCCAACAAATGCGCATGGCACGATGCCTAATGTAACGAACATTTGGCGATAACAGCACATACCTACACAGTATGTACAAACTATAAAAGATGGTCCGCGCATCTCGACTGCATCGTATTCTAGTATATCTATAGATATATAATATAATTTTCGATATTAAGAATTTTATTGAAATAAAATTTACTTGAAGTTAAATAAAGAAGAAGATGAGCTGCATTTGTATAATTGGCAATCGAAAAATTGTTCGTTTTTGTCAAAAGAAAAAATCTGTTTTAGATTCCGACATACTGCCTATAGAATTCATATGTAGGTATTTTCAAAGCTATTTGTTTTTAATCCGACAGTACATCATACGGCATTGAGTTATCTGAAACAGCGTGTTCCAGTTTTTTTTTTTCGGAAAAAAAACGCTTCCGGCGTTTACACAGCGATCACAATCATTTACTCGCAAAAACGCGTTAAACGGTTCCATAAACAAAACATTAAAAATAACAGTTGAGATATCTTATGTTTGCGAGAAGAAAAACTTGTACTTTCGTGGTAATACAATAAAGCGATGTGTTATAATGATTTAGAATAAATTTTTAATTTGACGATTTCGCTAAATTGCAAATGCATACATTTGTCAGTGAGAAATAAAAATAAATTAATTCCAATTAATCAAAGAATTTATAGATAAAAAGTGATTTACTAGATCCGTGAGACATTTTACGACATTAATGTATAGATAGATCGATTAAAAAAAATCCTTTTAGCGATTGGTTACGGCATATACGATATCTATCTAGTATATACATTCTTATACGTATATGTAGGTGAATGAGTACCAACGTATCTCTCCGACGTTGTTGTCAGGCAGGACGTGACGTAGAGGGTGGCAAAAGGAGCCGTACGGCACGACGACCCACATTCCGTCGAATTTAATTTCATGCCTTATCGCCGGTAGCCGTGGTACATACAATGCCTCAACTAGGGCGGTCGCGGATCTCTTTCTCGTGTGCGCACAGGTGTACGTGGAACCACCGTACAAATACGCATATGCACACATTCATTTACGTATGCTATGCACCTCGCTCTTACTCTTCTCGCACATTTTCTATTAATATCTCTCTCTCTCTCTCTCTCTCTCTCTGCAATTGCGCGTTCCAATTTTTTTCTCTTTGTATAATTAATAATATAAACCTCCTACAATGATTTATACTTCGATAAAGAGAAATACAGTAATTAGTAAACAGAAATTAGTTCAGAATACAATTTAGATTTCTATCTTTCTTTTATCTTGTCGTAAAGTAAAATTAATATTTTTCTAATGTTTTAATTTTAATAAATGTTAATTAGGTTAATGTAATTTTTCTAAATGTTATTGAACACCGATTCACTTTCAGAACAATTGTTCTATTTCTCATATTCAAATCAAACAAGTAATTCGTCACATTTATCTACGCGTTGATATCTGCCTCTCGTTTTACGTGCAAAAACAGGACAACCTCTCTTCAAACAAAGCAAGTAGCTCGTCGTTGATACTCTTCATATCTTGAAAATTTAACATATATATTCGCTCGTGCGAAACTCGTGCTCGTCTCATCGATCTACGTACGCGTTCTCTCCGCCTTGACCCTTATCTCTCTTTCTCCCTATCTCACTCTCTCGAATGCATTCACTCTCACCCTCTTATCCCTCTTTCATATTCTCTCACAGCTTCTCAGTCATTTACAGTGGCATTTCTATCACGGTCTAGGATAATGAATTTGCGTTTCGTCTCTGTCTCCGTTTCTACTGCTACTTCTCCGCTTTCCACCATTCCGACGCGGACGCGGCGCGAGCGCGTCGAGTTGCGTAAGTACGGCTATTATGCACCGTGCATCTGATGTACGCGTTTCTGTAACGAGCAAGCGCAAGCAGTAAATGTATACCGAGAGTCGATCGTGTGGTTGGCTATTTCTGCACGTGTTCCGACTTTACGCGGTGACGATTGCTTTATCAGATGTATGAGACTGACTGACAGAACGGGGTACGTGCCATCGGATCTCATGTCGACCGAATAAGAGTTTGCATTTTGTAAGCTATCGGAATAGAAATACAAATACATGATAAGACCATGTTCTTAATTAATTCCGTACAACTAACTTCCTCTGATAACATTTTACTTTAAAGTTAATTCTGTACACAAAGATATTTACAAATAAAGGAATTGCCGAAATGTTTTTTCTTTCTTAAGGAAAAATCAACTTTGTCTTACAATTAGTCACAGAATTAATTCTTATAGACAAGTCTCATGTATAAGGATACATCCTGCATGTACATGTCGTAAATAATTGCCTATGTTTACGGGGTTACGTTAGAAATAATAAACTCTTATCACTTATTCGCCACAAGAATGTTTAGACGACGATGATCGGCCGTGAGTTAACCGTGAGTCGCGCGTATTACGTTAAGTTTTCGCACGAGCGCGAAACGAAAAATTAAGCTATCAAAAAGGTTATTAACTAGCTATAATAACGAGCCAATTAGTCGGAAGGAACTTTCCAAGGATTTGTCACTGTGCCTTGCACAGCGGTCTATCATATCACTAAGACTCCCATTTCAAATGAAGTGAAGATTAGAAACACTGTCGGATTAAAACGAGGATGATCGTCCGTGACAAAATATGATATTAATATTGTTATAGCTATTAATATAGCTATTACTTGGAATGCATTCAAACATTCTTTCTTTTCTTTAATCATTTACTTTCACATCTTTTTTTAAAGCGATAGCGATATTTTCACGACAAGATATTTTCACGGAATAAAAGATGGCTTAACACAAAAGTGCAAAATGCGAGATAACGCGCGGCCTGCATCTAGGAATTATACGCGATCTATAAATTTGCTCTAAATCGCGATTAGACATTTAATGCTCTTAATCGCGATCGTGACACAGGTCAAGCAGCCCCGCACCGGATGGATGTCGACGACGATACGTAGTACGGCAACGGCGTAGAACGACGTTAGAACGTTACCGCTTGCGGCTGCAGCTGCAGCGTCATCGGTCGCTGCATCTGCAGCTGCGGTGGCGGCGGCGGCGGCGGTGCAGGCGGTGGCGGCAACCAGGATTTAATCAGAGGGCGAAACGATGCAGAACGTCGGCGACTATTATCAAAGAGCGCCGAGATGTTGTCCGGGTAGAAGCGGCGGTAGCAACAACAATAACAATAGCGCGGGCGGATCGGTGCGAGGCGCAGAGCTGCTCTGCTGCTGCTGCAGCTGCAGCACCGCTACTTCTATGAAGACTCCGGGGTTGCTAGCAAGTCTTGGCGTATGTGTGCTCGTTCTCGGCTACACCCTACTCGGCGCGTTCGCCTTTATGGCCCTCGAGGGAGGCTTAAAATCGGTGAGAGCGGTCGAAATCGACAACAATTAAATCGCCTCCTCTATTATAAACATTTGTCGTTTAACGTCGATATTTGGAATTCAATCATTCCGCTCGGCGATTTCGCATCCAATTTGATTCCGCACAGGTGAAATCAACAAATTGTCAAATAAACAAAGACAAAATTTATTAAATCAAATTATACGTTAGTCGAAAGATTGGCATTTATCTTTTTAGTATTTATTCTAGCCGCCTGATTAAAGATTTGACTCTTAAATTAGAAAATAATTGAAAAAAGAACACGATTATTAATTAAATATGATTGTGCATGTCAAAATGTAATATTTTCATTTTTAACGATTGCTAATCGATATTAAAGCATTTGACGGTTAAAATTATTTGAGAAAAATTTGATTAACCAAAATCGTTGGAAATTGATGATCGCTTAAACATTTCAATTCGCTATTTACACAATAAAAATATTTATATTTGTACATACTAAGCCGCGTAAGAGAATATCATACAAATAAATTTAAGAACGCCTTTTACAGTCGAGGCTGGATCTTGCAGGTGCTAATAATGTTTCTATATGAATTTTAAATCCATTATTCAGTTATTTAAACTGCGCGCCGAATTAATGTTGGACTTACAACGCAATCAAATTAGCTGAAGTTGGAATAGTGCACGGAAAGAACGATTTTGTTGAAAGACCTAAAAATTTTGCTAAAATTTGAAAATAATTTTTTATTGAATCATCAAAATAATTTGTTGGAATGTTAAAACTGATAAGTATTGCTATAAAACGTTTTGATATTCTAGCAATCATTTTGACTTTTGCACAAAATAATTTTGACTATTGATCGGAAGAGCACACGTATTTTCAGATCTGGATTCAGAAAAATTGTTCTTTCCATGTGAGATCTTCAATAATCTTTTAATAATCCGATGCAAAAAAGCATCTTACAAACATTGCGAACACAGCTCCTGCAGGTTCAAACTCTAGCTGAGGTAATATTTTTCGGTAATAATTTCTTTATGTGTTTTAAGATGCGACTTATTTGCATTAGATTATTAAAAATTGAAGAGTATTTGTGATTTCACTATTCCAGCTTCAGCTATAATGATTAATTTGGCGTGCAGTTTAAATGGCTGAATAATGTATTTAAAATTCATATGTGTAGAAATATATAAAATTGGGCAGCAAGGTTCAGCCTCGATCGTAGAAGGTTCTCAAATTTATTTTAAATTATATTTGTGTTTCTCCCATAGGATTCACTTACCGAGATTACATCGTCGAAACCCGACGGGACTTCTTACGTATTGCCCAACCTGGAGAATGATTCCACGGAATTGAGAGCACGTACGGTCGAGAAGTTGTGGAGCATAACCGAGGATCTTAACGTTCTCTACAAGGAGAATTGGACTCGTCTAGCTGCCCGAGAGGTCCTCGAGTTCCAGGAGAATCTGGCCCGCGGCCTCAGGCGCACTTCCTACGAGCAGGTGCCACCGTTGCCTCCGCGGTCCCGAGAGCATCACGCGGACAAACGGCTGCACGGTCGACGATGGACTTTCAGTAGTAGCCTGCTATATTCTCTGACGTTGATTACGACCATAGGTTCGTCCTTCAATCAAATCTTGAAAGAAAAACGCGCGAAAAGATTATCTCGATTCACATATTATCCGTCAAACCGTGCCCTGCATTACTTAACACATTTCGTACTCGAGTGAACCAAGACTCGTACATTCGCCGAGTATTATTGGTTCGTAGCTCGTAGCCTCGAAAGTCAAACATTTATTCTCGCCACGTGACATAGCTATTCTGCTATCGAAAAATATTAAACGACCGTTTCGGTTTCAGGATACGGTAGCGTAGCGCCACGCACAATCTGGGGCCGGCTGATCACTATAGTCTACGCCTTGGCGGGAATTCCATTGATGTTGGTCTATCTCAGTACGGTGGGCGATGTGCTCGCCCGAAGCTTCCGTCGTCTGTATGGACGAATGTGTCGGCGGCCGCGTAATTGCGCGCGAAAGCAACAACCACCGCCACCGCCACCGCCAGTCGGCGGCATAATGGCCAAGGCGTATCGCTACGACAATCATGTGGAAACCAAGGGAGGTGGCAATTATTACTCGGCAAGCAGGGAAAGCTCCTGCGATGATTTGGGTATTCGTGGCACTGGCAGCGCAATCCTGCTCGATTGCGGCAGCGAGGGTCTTTTGCACGCTACCACCAGTTCGACAGCCGCGCTCCAGGTAATTCCGTATAAGCGAAAAGATTATATTTGGTACCAATTTTGAGAAATCTTTTCTTTATATACAGAAATATATACAAAAAATATCTTCTAGTTACTGCGTAATATGACATTGTGATATTTGATAAAATTAAAGTTCATCAGAAAGAGGATCTATTTTAATTTAATATAAGAATAAATCTTTTCGTCTTCATGGACCAATTCGACATTTACACACGTCACATATCTTTCATATGTTTCAACTTTCTCATCCATCGACTATCAGGATGTGACAACAGGCAACGGCAAGCGACACTTTCATCCGTGTTCGCTGTCCTTATCATCCACCTCGTCACCGGCGTACATGCTAGAGATAGAGACCAACCCCGTCAGGATACCGATTAGCTTGTGCCTGGCGATAATGCTGGTATATATATGCGGCGGCGCGGTCATGTTCAACCGACTGGAGGGCTGGAGCTTATTGGAGGGCGGATACTTCTGTTTCACCAGCCTTGGCACGATCGGTTTTGGAGACCTGATGCCGGTGGGACGTAACGCGCCGTCGACCACCTTGGAGGAGCTCAGCCTGTGCGCCTGTTCGCTCTATATTCTCGCCGGGATGGGCCTGATCGCCATGTGCTTCAACCTCGTCCAGGAGGAGGTGGTACGCGTGGTCAGGGTCTTCGGTAGAACCTGCGGCATGTCGTCGGGCGTGGTGGTCGGACCTATCGGTGGTACAGGTATCCCTGATGAAGGCATTCGGTGGGGAATCAACGATGAAAGTCTTCCACGAGAGATAGAGAGAGAGCGAGCATCGTGAACCGTTGAGATTATTTTGTCGACTGTCACGCAGTAGTCGCGTTCAAAAACTGCTGCAGCAGCATATTATACACAATAATCCTGTAACAATTAATTAGCTCTAGATATCTCTAACCGATATATATATATATATATACATGTATGTATGTATGTATGCATCAGTCAGACGTAATCTTTACGTTGCGGAACGGTTTTCCGAGTGCCCCGTTGTTTTACGTAATTATCGTCATTACCAATCGTCATTGCCAATCGCGACCGAAGAAACTGAGAATTTCTGAAAAGTACAATCGAAAAGAACAGCGTGGTTGTACGACCGCGCCGAGACGAGTGGCAGTCACGAGGTCACGCGTGGTCCCTCTCTTTTTCTTTGCAGCAGGCGCCACTTCCGGTCTCAAGGCCGACCTCGATGATGGAGGTGGCACCAGCGACTCGCGATTGTCCGAACAAGAAGAGGAGGCGATCGCCATGTCGATGGTGCCGGCCGGTTCCTGACAGCATCAGGCCAGGAGCTCCGGCGACGGCAAGCTCCTGGCCCATCCCTCGAACACTGCCATAAAGTTGTCACCTGGCCATCATTCGCTACCGCGCAAGAAGACGTTACCGCTAGACGCCACCGGCAGGACGGCGAGCAACTCGTCGTCCTCGGGTGCCAGCGTTCAGCAGCAACAGTTCCAGCGGGGCCAGCCGTTAAGAAGGAGTTGTTTGTCGCCGACGCAACAACATCATCATCAGCAACAGCAGCAGCAGCAGCAACAACAGCAGCAACAGCAACAACAATTGCCTCATCATCATCAACACCGACAGCAGGAGAATTCGTTGCATTTTGAATACTTTGTACCGCGCAGCGTCAGCGAATTTAATCTCGCGGCCGCCGTGACAGATTTGGCGGTGCCGCCGCCTCCTCCTGCATCAGTCCTCAGGCCTTCCTCGGCGACCGCGCCACCAATTGCTACCGGAGTGATCGCTACCAGTCAGACGCGATTGCTGGATAGTGGCAGTGGCGGTGGTTGTAACACCGCTACCAGAAGTCGTGAGAAAATGGTTACGTTCGAGGATGAGGGAGTCAGTTGCGGCGTTACCTCGACACCTACCAGGAAGAACTTGCCCACTCTAGATAACGTCTTTATGTGACGTGTGGCACAGATTTCACGAATACTGAAACGCTTGCTGCTGTGGATAGGTGAGAACTTTGGAATTTACACATCTGAAGTCTGAAAAGACGAGCAGTGGCAAATTGTCAAAAATGTTGATCTATAGTGTCATTCGGTAACGATAGAAAAATTAAATGAATACGAAAGTTATTTCTATGAAGAATAAATGAATATGTGATTGAGTGATATTAACGATTGAGAAATATAGCGAGTTATTGTTAATCTGGTGATTATCGAAAAGTCTTTCGACGTTTTTGTAAAAAAAAAAAAGAATTAGTGAACGTATTCCGAATACATAATTAAAAAGCAGATTAGATGATATCAAGAAATAAGAACAAAATCATATTTGATTAGGATCATGAAACATAAATATCAAATAAAAAACAAGGATTTATTCATGGTTTATATAAAATCTGACATTAAAAAAAAAAGATAAAGAATATGAAAGATGTAAAGAGAAAGAAACGGCAAGACAAAGAAAGATATCGGATATTTGTAAAAGACTGCATATCAGTACAACGCGATGACATGAAACTATATAAGCATAGGAATATTTCAAATACCAAATGTGGCAGAGGATATGAAAATTATTAACAATTGATAAAGAACACTCTAAACAGAATTATAAAACAACATTAAGAAATATTTTGTTTGCGGATAAAACTTTTATCAAAATTTAATATGAGTTTTCAGCACCATGGACTTTTTCTTGTTACAACTACTGCACATGAGGAAAGATTGCCTAAATAATAGTAACATTCAAGACAATATTTAAAAGACACTTAAGAGACATCTGATAGATATATGTTCTAATTTTTCAGATATATATATCTCTTAGATATCTTTCAGACATCGTTGAGATATATTTGTGTTAATTTTAGAATCATTTTTATGTCTAACAAATTTTTGAAAAAGATATATATTCCACTTACAATTTATAGTTATATATTTTAATTTGCGATGCCACGCATAAGAACCGTATGTGAAAACGAAAAATAAAAGACAAAAATATCAAGAATAAACGTTCGAAAAAAAAAAAATGTTATAATTGACATTGAAGAATTTTCCGTGATAATGGAAGCTTCTCCTCGGCCGAAAGGCGACTGTACATTATCCTTAATTATAAATTATCGTTAAATTTAATTGTTAAATTACTTGCGCGCGCGCAGCGTAGGTTATCTATCGAGTATTCGATATTTTATGTCCGATGATAAGTCCGACTGTGTATTCCGAATATTACACGAATAGTTTGTATATATATATACATATATATATATATATATATATATTATATATATTCAAAAAATATATTGAATAATTCTAATTACTTACTATCCCATCATATATTCAACATACAAATAGTTATATATAATATATGTATTATTATTTATATATTATATTTATATTATTATTAATATGTATTACATATGTATTATACATTGTGTATATATATATATATATATATATATATATGTATATATATATAAGAATTAAAAAGATAATACATACATAAAAAATCAATTACATTAAAGTTGAACGATCAATTAGAATGATTCGATTGTGAACGGTAAGTTTAATAATCATTTGTAATTATAAAATGTATACAATAATTTTTTTGCTCAAACAAAAAGCAAAATTCATCTATAATAACAAATAGAAAATTATTATCAATTGTTAATTTATTAACTAACTTAATTGAGTTAATTGAGTTTAAACTATATTAAAATTCAATGCACTATACTTTTAAATCACCAAGTAAATAGTAGCTTTTGCGCATCTTTTACGTCATTTTACATCGATGCACAGTATTATATATACTTACTATATTTTACACGAGGACCGTACAAAAAAGCAAAAAGGAATCTGAAAGAGCTGGACATGACGGCCTTTGCTTGACCAGCTGTTACCGTAAAATATCCTCGCGCGACGCGCACTAACGCTCCCGGGAGAAGTGGATGTAAACTATACAACACATCCATTTTTCTGTATCGCGGGATAAACTACTTTCAAAATAAAATGTGTGCTTACCAGAGCTGGCAGGAGTGATATATCTCACTGGTTTGAACCATTTGAACGTATCTTTCACTCCTTCCTGGCTCTGATAACAGTGGCAACACGGGCACGCACACATTTTATTTATGGAAGTAGCACAGACTCAAACCACATTCATTTTTGATGTCACAATTTTATCGACAATGTCAGAAAATGGACGTAGCTACGTAGTACCCATTTAAAAAATGCATGCAATGGCGCTAGTGTATGTACGTATGGCCAGAGAGTATTTTTATTTTATCGTATAATTTCAATTGTCTTTCTCTTTTTAATTCTCTGCATTCCACTGTAATTACGATTCAAATCGTAGACAATTTTACGTTTTAAATTCAAATCCAAAATGTAACATTTTATATATCGGGAAAAGTAAGGTTATTTACTCCTTAGGAATTCTAACCTTTATCAAGTAACTGTGGTGACACATGCCGCTCTGGAGCACATGTTACGTTTACGATGTTGTCTATAAACAGTATTAAATTGATTACTTTCATAAAGCATTCGACGTGGAAAATATACGTAGGTAATACGTATTGTTATTTGAGAACCTGTCGCAATCGATACAGGCTGATTCAGACTTTCAATTATTCGACGAAATGCGACACGAAAAAGGATGGCGTTCAACCCTGCATGTCTCTGGATCCCAGAGTCGAGGCATTGCGAGAAAAATTAATATATTGCGACTATTTGGATTATCAGAAAGTGAAAATAGGATACATGAAGCGTTACTTATTGAAAAAGAAAGCTGAGCACGCTGAAAGAGAAGCACGAATTGATAAGCTGACAAATGTACCCGTCTACAGCATACTCTTGGACACAAAAAATGATGAAAACAACTTGAAGCAGGAGCATATAAATACAGAAGAAGATGTAGCGAAGCCTGTACATATGCCGTATGCGAGTACCGATTCGTACAGTAGTACGGACACATCTTCAATCGAGGTGAATAAAAGTAATTTTGATGAAAATACGATATCGTTGAACAACAAGTATAAAGCTCTATATGAAGAATACTTGGCGCAAAAGAATGCAGATTTAGGAAAAGAAGAATTCACTCTGCAGGATTATTTAGAAGAGATAGATACAGATGCAGATCCAGATACGTTATACAAGAGACATTTTCCGATATCGAATGTGCCACCCAATTGGATGGTCGACGTCGAGCAATATGACGATAGTTCGCAGAGCAATACCTGGCTCAGTAATTACGGAACTCCAGATCCAAACTCCAATGTTAGTTCCGTTCCTTGTGGTGGATGTGGCGCCTTACTACACTGTAAGGACCAAGCTCTCCCAGGTTACTTGCCCTCTGAGTTATTTTTGAACAAGAGCAAGCAGGAATTGCGAGTTATGGTTTGTCAAAGATGCCACTTTATGCAGTATTACAACACCACGTTGGAGGTGAAGGTATCTGCGGACGAATATCCAAAACTTTTAAAGGTGATAAAAAATAAGAAATGCGCCGTCATTCTGATTGTTGATCTTACGGATTTTCCATGTAGCATATGGCCTGAAATAAATAGCGTTCTGCATTCTTCGACACCAGTATTTGTCGTGGGGAATAAAGTTGATTTGTTGCCCCAAGATTCTAAACATTTCTTCACTCATATTAAAGATTGTTTATCGAAAGCTATAGAAAGTACAGGAATCAAGAAGGAGAATATCAGACATGTAGCACTCGTATCTGCGAAAACTGGCTACGGTATAGAAGAACTTATTAATAAATTACACACTATCTGGAAATATAAAGGTAAGGATTCACGAAATGGATCATGATATAGAATCTAGATGGATAATAATCTGCTTCATATTTTATATCTATTATAATTATAATTTAGGAGATGTTTACTTAATCGGATGCACAAACGTTGGTAAATCTTCTCTGTTCAACGCTCTTCTGCAGTCTGATTATTGCAAGGTACAAGCTGTGGATCTTATACAACGTGCAACCATTTCTCCTTGGCCAGGCACAACATTGAATTTGCTCAAATTTCCTATTTTAAATCCTGTTAAATGGCGACTTTACTTGAGAACGTTGCGATTGCAAAAGGAACAACAGTACAAGCATGCCGAAGAGAAATTCCGAATCAGTCAGTTCAAGGCGACTCGTAACTTAAAGTACGCCACATTGCAAAGTATGTATCGTTCTCACACCTGTTGAGTGCAAAATTCTCACAACACGCAGTTGATTGTAATCGATTGGAAATTTTTGCATTATTATTCGTATGTGAAAGTAATACAAGCCGAAACGTTGGAATTTTTTAATCATATACTTGACTTTATTAAATAATTTTATTTTGTAATTTAACTTATTGTTTAATTTGCGCCCACTTACCGCGCTAACTCTCACAGCCTTCTCTGTAATTTTGAGTTCGATTTAAATGTGTTATTCTAAATTTAGGTCACATTGGCAGAACATTTCAATCGAAATCCGAGATTAAAGTAGGAAACGATCTGTTCGTGGTAGGAAAATATAACAAGCATACGCAGCAACTAGGTTTTGATGAAAATAAAGAAGAGTATAAATACAGCCGCTGGTGTTACGATACTCCCGGCACCATTCAACCGGATCAGGTGTTGGATTTGTTAACGACGCAGGAACTTTTGTTGGTTTTACCGAAGAAAATAATCTTCCCTAGAACATTCGTTCTACATGTAAATCAAACGATATTCTTGGGCGGACTGGGCAGATTGGATTACGTAGAGGGCAATAGTTTTATTAGGTATTTATGCATACTTGTGATTGCCGATAGTAATGTATTAAATTAAAGGTATCCAAGTATTAAAAACGATTACTATTATTATTTATTTAGGTGTACAATATTTTCGAGTAGCGAATTGCCAGTGACTCTAACTCATACTGAGGATGCGGACAGTGTATACAACGAGTTACTCAAAACGAAAGTGTTTGTCGTACCTGAAAACAATTCGGACCGATTGAAACATTGGCCGGCATTAGGATCTAAGGAGATGGAAGTTACTGGTATCGGAAAGAATGAATCGATCGCCGACGTTATTTTGTCCAGTGCAGGTAATTTTTCCTTACAAACTAATAAATTTATGTATTTGCACATTGCCTTCCGAGCTTGCCTTCGTAGCTGTAGTTTTATAATTGTTACAGGATGGATCGCGATCGCTGTTGAAGAGGCTGAGCGTGTTTCATTGAGGGCTTGGAGTCCACAAGGTCGCGGGTTATATCTAAGAACACCAGCGCTTTTGAAGAAATCTGTTGCTTTGCGTGGCAATCGAATCTCAGATACACCGACGTACAAAAGCGGACGTCAAGCATATAGAAAATAAATAAGTGGGTATAAAATTTATATGCAATATTGTACGTTACGTGCGTATATTCCAAATGCATTTTCGCGTTACATGCATATTCTCCAACGTTTATATATGTATGTATATATGTAATTAATTTATTCATTCATCTCTTTTTAATTCATAACTGTAATTTGATAAAGGAATGCCAATATACTATATGTTTGTATCAACTACAGTTTCTTTGCAAAGTTATTTGATAACGATTGAATGAGTTATATTAATACTTGTGGACAATGAGATTGCGACACTTTTTTTCAGTGAATTTAAAAACGCGTGGTTTTAAACATTCTGACAGTGTTTCTCAAATAATATTGCATAAATGATTGAATTTGATATTAGTCTCAACATTTGGTACATTATTATTTTAATTGTATAGAATTAACGCGCTCGTAAACTCACTGAAAAAAAAGTGTCGCAATTTTATTGTCCACGAATACATAATTTACAACTCAATTAATAACTTACTTAATTGCACAATTAAATCTTAATTCCTGTATTTTTTTTTATTAAATAGGATTGCTTGTTATTACATTTGATGTGTACATATTTACACACACACACACACACACACACACACGCACGCACGCACATCAAACGTGATAATAAATAAAGCAATATTATTTAATAAAAAAATTGTGTATACATATAATTTAAGCAATCTTCAGAATTTTTTATAATTTTTTATGATATAAAAATCATATTAGAAAAAGATCTGAATGATGACAATATTTTTCGCATCAATTATCAGTTTCTTGCGCACGCATTTTTGCTTGTTTATACATCCTTTTGTAAAATTTTTCCAAATTCTTGTAAAATCCATGGCCCGAAGAGTAATCTCGAATGTACTCGCATTTCGGATCGTATTTCACAACACTGAAATAATATTTTTAAAGTTTACATGTCGTGTGCAGGACGATTTTACTCAACGACACTTACTTATCCATCATTTCAGTAGCGTACCATTTTTCTTTAGTTTTAGTTTTCTGACGATTTTCGATTTTGGATTGTAATCTGTAAAAACACAACGGTTGTAATGTAAAAAATATTTAAGAAATTCGTCCATTTTCAATGAACTCACAATGGCATTGCCTCTTCCTCTTGTGTGTCGAATACGTCATTTTTACAAATATAATCACACTCTCTAATATCAGATAAATTTCTGCAATATCTTTGCTTATTGTCAACACATTTCTTAACTATATCAGAATCGTCATAGTATTTGGGAAAATAACAATTATATTTGAAACAAACTGGACAATTGTCTGTAATATGGGTATTGTCACATATAACAGTGGGTTCGGCTAACTTTGAGAAATCTGGTCGACAAGTGCATATAGATTTTCTCCTTAAAGTTGAGTGGTAACAATTGAACTGATCAATTTGCGATTCTGCTTGATGATTTGTAGAAGGATACGAAGGACATTGATGAAAATCGCTTGATTTCTGACGATACCTTTATCCATAACATATATTTATATCATGTAATAACACGTAAACGTAATAATAATAATAATAATAATAATAATACTTACGGTCGACAGCTTTGAGATCTCGGTTTACTTTTAGCGTGACACACTCTTCGTTGTCTTATAATACCTTTAATCGGTCTTTTTCTTTGCCCATACGCCGTTTGCTAAAATTTACGCACAGAAGACCGACATTACTAACAGATGATCCTTAAGATCGAATAGATGTGAAAGGAGAAAATTTAAACAACACATCGATTTCAATCTGTATCTATCAAGTACCTTAGAGTTAATCATTTTTGGATTGATGACATAACATTTACTCATACTTGTGTCACAGAAGCCCAAGATTTCCTCGACAATCGTTTTGGTGGAGACCTCGATTTTGGGTGCTATGATACCCTGAAGAGAAAAACGACCGTAATTTTGTCGTTGTTGAAAAATTTTTACATCTTACAATTGTATTAAACAAATGGATACGAAAAACATACGGGAAAGTATTTAGTCGGCTCCATTAGAAGGTCAATGTCCACACCGGCTAGTAAACCTTTGAAACAGGGTGCGGGATATAGCAAATCTGCCAAATTTGTCTCAAACGTTGCCAAAGTAATGCCTCGGCTAGCTGGCGTTGCCCACTGTATCAATTCCGTATATAAAAATTCTTGCTCCAAAGTGTTTTGCAGCTCCGTTAGGGAAATTATTCGAGCAAAGATTTTATCGAAGATAAATTTGTCATGGAACAAAAGTGGGAAAATCGGGCTTATTGCGTGGGATTCCGCACAAGAATCGAAAACGTTGATTCGCAGAGCCACTTTGCCATTGGGACACAACCAAACGCCAGGACACGTTATCTAAAACGTCATGCCACGTGAATAATTGAATTCCATGGCGATACACAGCAAAAATGTCGTGATAACGTACCGCGTGTACATCTAGCTGTACTTTAACGTGAAAAGCTCTGCCTGCCATGCCGTCCAACTGTATGTAATGACAATTTCATTAATCATATGGTTAACAGCATCGTTGCCTACTTGTATACGCTCCGAATGTCTCCGAATGTTATGTCATCAATCCGTGTTCAGATCTTACTTTCTGGACCTTGTTCGGTAAAAGAGCGTACACGTATACACTTTAAAGACCATATCCATGCCATCTTGCGAAAGAGTTACCATGATACTTGTCATACTTGTTGCCAGGGAACAGCGACACAACATCACTCGCGAATCAATGTATCGAATTTTGTCAAATAAGCCGATTTTAGCTCGATTGATATTATTTTCCATTTTTCTCTAACGATATATTCGTTAAAAAATTTGTTCAACTTTCATTTATAAAAACAACTTTTTATTCCATTTTCTATTTGTTTGAAATGACACACGTCTCTCAAATATTTATGTTCTAAACGGCACGCCAGCAAATCTTTTTTCTGGCAGACCTCTCTGCAGTTTTCGACGTACGAGTTCATTGCGGATAAAATCCGATTGTTTTCTGGAGAAGTGTAATCTTGGATCTTTCGAGATGGGCACTAGCGATGCGGTGAACCAGCCGTATCTATAAAACGGTTCGTTATCGAAATTAATTATTAGCTTTTATTCATTATTTTTATTGACTTACTCCATGTTTACTGTCGGCGGTCTAAACGAATAAATGTCTTTGGGTATCATCTCCGTCTGTCGTTTAATCAAGTGGATGTCGTCTTTTCTAACATCCGACGGAGAGAAAACATCGTGTTTCGCATAGAATTTGCCAGTTAACGATTTTATACGAGTAGTAGGCACAAACGTTTCTCTCACATTTATCAATTCGTTTTCCTTTCTGTATCTTTCTAGATAAAAGCGCAGTTTCATAGGATTTATCAGTAAATTGGTCGCCATAAATTTATTCAAATGATTAAACTCTCTAGCTGTTGTTGTAGCAATTGCAAATAACGCCCGTGTTGGATTATAAACTACTATATATTTTGTAAATGAAGTAGAAAAGTTGACAATCCACAGAACCAATTTCAAGATCTTTCATTCACACGGTTTAACATCACGCGGATAAATAGCGCTCGAATTCGTCAGGGATAATAAAAGAAGAATAATATCTTGAAGAGTATCGATGTTTATTTTAAAATATGTATATCAATAGAAAACACGTACGTAACAAGCGGAAGACCGTAAGGCTGATCAGTCAAAAGTTTTTAGGCCTAATATAACATCGTTGTTTCTTTTCTCTCTATCTCTGATTAATTTATTCAAAAAAACTGTTTTCATAGATATATAATAAAACATTCATATTTCTTCCTTTATGTCTTCTCGGTCCTTTCTCCTTTCCATTTGTCTTCCCTCCGTGCTGCGCTCTCTCTCTCTCTCTCTTATTATTTTATGTCGTTATTTTACACACATACATATATAGTTAAGTGACGAACATGGAAGAGAGCAGCGCGATAAGAAAACTAGGAGAAAGAATAAGGAAAAGAATATATAAAAGGAAGAATTACAAAAATTCGACTGTATAAAGCGATACTCGCGTAAGGAACTAAAACGCGCGGTTCGCGCTTTTTACTAGTCTTTAGCCTATCGCGTCTTAAATCGCGTTATGCTGATTCGATCATTATTCGATTTGTTAATTAGTTGTTAATTGACGTGACGCTATAAAATTATAATACCTAGATAATTTTCTTGATGCAGTCAAAAACGTATTTGACAGTTTACTCTTAAAGTATTTATGTATTTACAAATTATTTTATCTTCACACTATGAATATAATTATGACAAAAGATAAACTGATAAAAATTGACCCAATATATTTCTCCAATAAAAAAAAATGACTTATCGTATGCAGTTTAAATTTGTCAACGCTTTGTTGACGCTTTGGCACGCAAATTAGAGTGATGAAATAAATGGCAAGATTTTTTCATATTTCGTTGTCGCTGCGATAACTATAACAGAAGCAACTATATATGAACTTTTATGTTTATATTTCTATAAATATCAGAGTCAAAGTGTTCTCTTAGCCCTCTTCGTCTTACTTACAATTAGTTATAGAGAAAATGTCACTACAATTATATTTTCCAATATCAGAAACGCTTAAAGATTCGATGCGATGAAAAATACGTTGAAATTTCTTTCACATTTCTTTGTTAATTTTCAACATAATATGAAAAAGAAAGGAAAATAAAAGGAAAAAAATTTCGCAGAGACGCATTTTTGTGTAATGAAGAATAACAAAATTTATCACGGATTCAGATAGAATTAGATTCATGAGAAATACCCGTAGAATTTATTATTTTGAGTCTAAAGCAATTTTAAGCGTATACAATAATTTTAATATAACGCGATGTATACATAGTCAAATATTTAATCATATTTATCGTTGCATTTTTATTGCCATCGTGACTATTTCATCGCTATGACGAAGAAGCGCGAGACATTTTGGCGCGAATACTACATTATAAAATCATTGTATAGTAAAATGGTGTGTGTTTGGCATATTATCTTTTTAAAAACTTTACTTTCTGTCTGAATGAAATCAATTCCGTTCAGTAATAAATATATTCGATAGGATATCTCCGCAGCTGTCTAGGACGCATCCCTCGTTTCGCTGAAGCGTTGAATTATGTTTCTGAAAGAGAAATTCTTTATGAACCAAAGACGGAAAATTAAAAAGAAATTATTAAAGACGATTCGAAAGACCACCTTGATAATAAAAATCTGGTTTCGAGGTTGATGGATAATTAAAATGAAATCTCAAGTAAATTCAATTTTACGCAAATGAAATTTGCGTCCCTTCTTTTTTTTTATCAACTTTTGACTATATATTTTCTCATTATATGTATGATACCTTTTCTGCTCACCAAGCAGCTTACTGTCTCCTTGAACAATTTCCGCATCCGTGTAGGACCTTGGTTTATCGGCATTAAACTGTTGCAAATCCAAATCCAAATTACCATTGTGATTACATCCATTCTCGCATCTGCTCAAATAGATATCCAGCAACGGTGATCGGCAAGTGTCGCGTGGCGATAGACAGTCAGGATTGCTCGGTGACAAAATCTCCTCATAATATTCTACGCTCTTCGGTTCTAGACCACCGACGGTGGAGCCGTACTTTTTCGGCAAAGTGGTCGACGTATTTCTGCCATAGTAGGAAGAGTCCGTCATGCCGTCTGCACTCAGAAACGATCTCGAGAGAGGACCCTTGTACGAGACTCCGGCGAAATCGTTGTCCGCGATGACATCCGTGCTATGATACTTGACGCGAGAGGTGATAAGATCCAGCGTCGGAGACCTTGCGTATCTCCGCAGGGAATCGTGCGAGGAAGATGGCAAGCCACTACCGTGATGATCGAGGAAGGCTCTCGCTTCCGTCTGATGACCGTACGACGATGTATTCGATGCGTCGCTATATTTCTCTCGATCGATCGGTGATTTTCTCAAGGCTGGTGTCTCGTCATCGCCGTACAAAATGTAACCTTTGTCCTTCGTCCTACGAAATATTTTAAATTACCAACAATAGTTGGTAGGAATTATCCTTGGGGTTTGCCTAAAGCTACGAATTGAATACATGGCATTTGTTTTTCCTATTACGTCTAGTTATATTGATTACAATATTTAATTAATTTTTTAGGCAATGACAAAGAAAAGCGAAAGCGAATCTCATAGAGTGAATTTACCTCTTGGAAACTCCATAATTGTGCAATCTGTCGCGCTCCCTTTCTCTAGAACTGTTGAAACTGAATCTTCTAGGCAGAGTGACGCTATTGACACCCGGTGGCGGCGCCATCAAGGATGGCCTCTTTCGATCATTGAACCTCGAATAAAAGCTGCGTCTTCGTATTCGGTCTATTACCGATTCTGAGCTGTCGGATCCACGCATGAATAGAGAGTACGACGGTGATGTCGGCGAGTGCAAATCACCGCGAATATGATTCAGATCAGCCGAACAAATTGACCAGGAATCAAAACTCTCGGGTTCCTCGGGCGTGAACATCTCACTGGTGCAATCATCCGGTGGCTCTTTAGTCACTGTAACACTGTTAATCCCTTCAGGATTCAGTTCAGTTATCTCTTTCGGCTCACAGTAATCGTCTCGCGATTCCGTCACGTGATTCTCTATGATTCTAGCATATTCGGTGACCTCTCGCTTTAGTTCGGCGACATCCTTCGCTCGCAACGGCTTATCGATGATTATCTTGTTGCCGGTGATGTTGGCGTGATGCGTCATCTTCGACAGACGCTCCATCAGTTTGTCGGAACCATTTCCTCGTTCTATAAGATCGTCCGTTTTAGGCAATCCAGTAGATGTGGCGGGATTTGATTTTGGTGAATCAGATCCGGGCGAATCTTTCTTAGGAGTCGCGTGTCTAAATGTGTGTTGTGGTATCTTAGACAAATCGAGTTTCAAATTCGCCCTATTTGGTCGATATTGTTCCAACGTTGGTTGTTGCTTCGACTGACAGATATTAAAACTCGGATCGACCCAAGCCGTAGAATTCGAGGAATCTATGGTCAAAGCGCTCGTAATGCTTTGAGAACTTGGACAGTCTTTCTTCGGAGAACTCGAAGCGTTCTGAAGAATGGAATTCACCTGCGAGACGATATGCATATCGGTGGACGAGGCGACATTTACATCGATACATTTATCCAATACACGGGTTCCCTTAATATCATTTTTCATCTGATTCATAGTTATATTTCCCATCGCGCATTCAGCATCCCTGGGCATCGCTGGCAGATCTGACGCCACCTCTTTAGAGCAGGATGATTTTGCGATAGTCTGATCATTTTCTTCGATCAAATCTTGTACCATGATACTCGGGTCTTCGGGACTCTTCTCTTTCTTCGTCGTTACGGTTTTCTTCTTCGTCAACGGCTTCGATGATTTTCCCTTTTCATCGGATTTGCTTTCGGAACTGTCGGACGATTTTTTGACAACTTTCCTCACGACGCGCACTATTCTCTTCTTTCTAGAACTGTTAATCTCATCTTTATCCGCATTTTCTTTCGACTTGACCAGTTTCTTAGTCTTCTTATCCACGTCCTCGCCCTTGTCGATTCTCGTGACGGATTCGTTCCTGCTTACTAGAGAGCTGATGTTTTTTTTGGTTTTAATTAGTTTCTTATCTTCGTCATTGATAATAGACGCCTTGTGCTTGTCGTCGATGACTTTCCGCGGAGAATCCGACTGGTCCGACGATTTTCTTACTGACAATGAGTCCACTTTGTCCAGCATTATTTTATCCGCGGATGACGATGCAGCTGAAACATCCGAGGATGGTGTGGCTCTTTTAAATTCCTTCGATTGCTTTTCCACAAAAGGTTTTCTTTCTTTAACAATCGACTCCTTCTCCTTCGATTTTTCCTTGGACGATGATCTTTTACACATTTCGGTCATTACCTTCTCCGGCGATCTCTTGTTCTCCGGTAATCTTTTCGTCGGTTTATTGTTGGTTCTAGCGAATTTCGTCGGGATTTTGCTCGTCGCGGTCATATCTTCCTCCAAAGATGACTCAGTCGTCAATTTGACACATTTGGGCGGGCTCCTCTTTAATTTACTCATGATTACGTTCTGCGTTCGACTGCCACCGTTCGTATTCCGTTTGGTCGTATCCGCGTTCGTTTTGAACAGTCCTAATACCGACGTCACTCGACCCTTCGAGTTGGACACATTCCTGGCATCCTTGTTCGATCCTCCACGACAAGAGAGATCTTCCACGCTCAACGTCCTCTTCACCTCGAGCAAGCTCGATCCCTCAGAGTTTGCGGGCGGTGCGGAGCACTCGCGCAATCCACGTTCCTTTCCGAGATCACCGGATATTGAGCTGCCGTTCATCATCGGCTTCGCGACCGTACTCGTTGTTGTCTCGTCATTCGAGCGCAATCTCTCCAACTTTTTCTCCAACGAATGGAGAAAGCTACTCTTCGAGCCTTGTTCGACCTTCGTTCTTTCTTTATTCTCCTTGTTGGGCTTGTCTTCGAAGGAGATGGAGGAAGAGGAGGCGACCGCGGCCCCAATGGCACCGTCCAGTTTATCTTTCTGCAGCGCATTTATTTCGTTCTTCTGTTCCTTACAGATCTTATCGTCTCTCGAGCAATCTTCATTACGTTCCTTGTTCTCGCTTTTTCGTCTCATAAACCGTGACTTTCGGCGTTCGTTTTCTGCCGCTCTTTGTGCTTCTTTTTCCTTCACATACTGGCTCTCCTCTCGTGGCGTGTCAAAAAAATCCGGCCGCAAGAAACGCGAGATGCGATGCTGTTTTGGTTTTTTATTCTTGTTGCTGTCCTTCGATTCGGCCTCTTTATCGGTGCTGGTGCCAGTGCCAGTGCCGGTGCCGCTGCCGCTGCCGCTACCACTGCCACTGCCTCTGAAGAGTTTGCTCAGGATCGATCTTTCCTGATTAACGCTTCCGGCTGATGCGTCAGATGAACCGGCAAATGACTTTCCGCGGTCCGCGCTTACGCTCGATTCTCTGGTCAACGAACCCGAACGTAATCTGAGACTCGGGATGCAACTGCGTCTCTTGGACGCGACGGAGCTGGCTGACGACTGTGGATCCGAAGTATTCATCAGGGTCTCTTTGTCACACTTGTCCGTATCCTTGTAATTGCAGCTGAGATTTGGATTGAATTGCTGCGACGTCAAGTTTTTCAATTTTGATTCCTTGATTAGATTCTCTGCCGCCAGCAATCGGTTCTCGAAACTCTTGGAGATGTCTGATTTGTAGATCGATTTACCATAGTCACTCAGATTCGACGAGGATTCCGTGGGAGAGATTTCGCAAGATCTAACCGACATGCTCGAGGTAGTGGTGGCGGCGGCAGTGGTGGTGGTAGTGGTGGCGGTGGTAGTGATGGTATTGTCCACCAAATTAGCGTTTGAATTACACATGGATATCGATGTACCTTCCGATATGGAGCCATTCTCCGCGACGTTGATATCTTCTTTGCAAGCGGACAGGTATGTGTCGTCACTGGACTCTTCCTGGATCTTGTCCGTTCTGTAACTATGAAAGCTATCTCGTCTCGTAATACCAACGACGTTTGATCTAATCGATTCCTTGTACTTGCGGCCGAGTGTCATTATGTGTTTCGGTAGAGGTGGCAACAGCTTGTCATCGCAACCATTATCGCAGTCGTCGAACAGGCTGATGCTTCTTCGCGGTGAGACATGCCCTTCTAATTTGTTATACTTGCACGGTTCTAGCAAACTGTTGGTCCTCCTAAGTCCTCGATCGAGCGATTTGCCTCTGTATTCGGTCCGATCAGAAGTCGTAGACGTGGAGTACCGTTTCATGATTTCACTCGGGCCTACCAGATTCTGCGTCAAATCCCTCGTTGGCGATTGATAATATCTATTGCTCTCGCGCGTCGAAGATGGGGAACGCGGTACAGATTGTCGGGTTTGCTCAATAAATTGTCTACTCAATCTACGTGCCAAGCTGGGAGTGAAATTCTGCTCCAGAGATTCTTGCGCCTCCCTTCTGATTTGCGCCGCAATTTCCGCTTTCACATCTTCTTCGTATACTTCTACTTTATCTGAAAGCAATCGAGACAGAATCTATGCATATTCCGCATGGGAGTGTGTCCGTAAATATGTGTCTGTACAATAATTGGACAGCGATTGGATGTTGTTCTTGTTGTTGTTGTGTTATAGGATGTATACATAAGAATACGCGTAATGTCATTATTTTCACTCCTTTATTTCTACATACATAAATCTCTTTTATAAAATTTGTCGAAAAATGTAATAAATAAGAAGCGACATCCCCCATTCTCTCTCTCTCTTTCTCTCTCTCTCTTTCTCTCTGTGTATGTTAAATTTCATGAGATGTCTTCTTAATCGGTTCTATTTGGCTATACAAGGAGCAACTGTATTCATATATGTCGATGTATATTTTCAAGTCATGGAAGCTCTCTAAATATGTTATTACTCTGTGGGATATTAATGACTTAGAATAGTGGAAGATTTCGAAATAGTCTTAAGAAAATCATATACGAATGGTAGCTCTTTGAAAATATGCATCAACAAAACTAGTAATAGCATGTATACATACCGTATCTTTTTTTATATTTAGATATTAATACAGAAAATTATAAGTGTATACTCATTTAACAGTGACCATGCAACTAAAAGGCTCATCTTACATATCCGCGGAGAAACAATTATAAACTTCAAGTAACAAATAACAATACAATTGATAATAGTATTAAAATTATGTCTTGTAAAATAAAAATATATATATGCTTATCACTTGGTACACTTCTATCACAGTGTGTTAAATGAGTAAACTCAGGACAAGTATAATGCATAGTAGGATATAATATTAAATACTATATATATATATATATATATATATATATATATATATACATATACATATATATATGCATTACATCAAAGCATGCGAAGACAATGTGATAAAAACGCTGTTATTTAAACTCTTAAAAACACAACAAATATCAGCCATCTCAGACAAGGGTTAGCTTTCGCTTGCAAGTATACAATTATATTCACTTTTTTTTCTTTTTTTTTCTCAAATAACAATGTCACATAAATAATTCTTTTTCGTATAACAAAGTTATTTTCGAATTTTTAGAACATGGCAACAAGTAACTTATCTAGTAACAATTTTCGCGAATGCGCGGGTTCGGTATGACTTATTCCAATGTTGCACAATATCGCATCACGTCACGCTGTCACTCGCTACCATCGGAGCTTTCAAGTACGATGGATGTGCTTAAAACTATACGCATCTCACTCGCAATCAGTTTAATATGTATTAAATAAATACATTATCGTATATACTTTCTTTGTCTTCATCTATTTTTACATTTTTCTATTATTTTATCCACAAATATATTTACACAAATATATCTGTATACACTCGAGAATAAATCATACCAAAGATAACCCGAAGTTTACAAAGACTCACGAACAGGATGTTTGATCTCATTGAAAACGCATGTGACAAAAATGTTAAAGGTGTATACGTATATCGTTTTCGAGTTTTGTACGTTGTTGCGCGTAAGCAAAATTATTATAATGCGAGGATGCAAATGTCTTCCCATCGTGTGACGAAAACTATACCGTTTTGCCAGACGCACTGCGATCAGAGACTTCGTGTGGTAACATAAGTAGATTGTTCAAGTACACTTTTAGAGATGAGAAACACATCGGACGAATACGTGTCACCGAATAGTGAAAAGATTTTCTTTTCTTTTATATTCTCAAAAGTATAATAAGACTAGGTGGGACTTTACCGGCGTCATATTCACTTTGCATTAGGCATACAAGATATTACTACCTAACTTGGTTTGTCTACTGAGGATTACCGTCAGCCCGCCTACGTAGAGTCACTCGCACGGTCGCTGCAACAACCGTCAATAAAACCGTCAATCAACGTATCACAAAATAACGTCAATTGTACATTTTTCTACAGCATATTATTTTCGATAATAATTGTTTGCTAACTTTTTTAATTTATGATTGAATGCGATGTACGAGATTTTAATTTATATCATATTAAACAGGGTCTTCCTTGAATTCTTCTGCCAATGTAATTTACATCATTTACGAAGAAGTTTATATTTTCTCGTTTATTGTCGTTGTTATTTCCTTCCTAATTGCATACTTTTACCTTTGTATTTTGTTATATTTTCAGAAATAGAATAAAGACAGAGTAAAGCAAAAGCTACTTTAGATACGTTATTAATTAAATATTGATTTTCTTATTATATATAATATTTTCTCTCTGAATAAAAAAAAAAAGATCATTTTAGAAGTCCCTGTTATTAAGTTCATCTATCAAGTGGAAAATCATGAAATTTTTAACTATAATTCTTATGTGCACACGACAGTGCTAACAAACAATTATTTTAATTACTGATTGAAGAGTCGACGATAGACGCAAATTAATGCATGAACTTGAATGAAACATGGATTTCTGTCTTGGATAGTGGAACTGAGACTCGTAATACATTCTATATGGATATGTGTTCCATGTCAATGCTCCAATCATGCTCCAAAATTTAATGTACACTAGGTGAATGTAAAAAGAAAAACTGCCACTACGATGTTACAAGATAATAAAAGATCAACAGCAGCAGTGCATTGCAACAACTATGGCATATTACAAGGTTCTATGTCAGGCAAAGTGAGCTTGCTATTTACTCTATGATTTTTTTTTCCATTTACTTGGGGACACAGATCCTATTTGTTATTTTATTAGCTATTTTAATATTCAAACATATGTGTATATTTCGTATTAAAAATTATATTAATTTGCAAACATCGCATTACAGATCCTGCAGCTTCTATATATTTGAATAAATGAAAAATTGACAAAATTGAGTTTAATTAAAAAAAAAAAAATAAACAAAATCATTAGATAAATAGGTTGTCCCAAAGGACTGGGTCGTGCAAACATGCTTTTGAGAATGCAGGATCTAAAAATAGTTGTGTAGTAACAAAAAAGATTTGTTATCCCTTAATTATATTTTTAAGAATTAGATATATAGAATAATTTTTAATTATATGTCGGTATTTGAAATATTAAATCTTTCATTTGAAACGAAAACAAAATACGAATATAAGTCGTTTTGTTTAGAGATACATTACAGTGGGAGAGGAGGATATTTTAAACATCTTCAATTTATTCGATAAATAAACGTGTTTATCTCTTTCATATATTTTTTCTCTATCTTTAGATTCTACATTGATTTTCCTGAGATACTGATGTATTATCAAGACTTATCGCGCGCGTATGTGCGTGCGTGCGTGTGTGTGTGTGTGTGTGTGTGTGTGTAAACTATTACATGTATGCAAGTACCAATAATTAAATAATATTTAATATCAATTATTATATCAATCTATATAATTTTTCTTGCTTAACACGAATTAAATTAAATTTAAATAAAATCGCAAATGATAAGAGATCTGTTCCAAACCCACCTGTGCCAAACATGAACCATATAATTAATCTATAGGGTGTTAGTATCAAAAGTTGCAAAACATTGTCAGGCAAGAAATAAAAAAATTAACATACTGGAAAGTGAAGAGAGAAAAAAAGAACAGATACAATAAGGGTAAAAGTAAACAAAAAAATTGTGCTTTGTCTATCAACGACTCGACAACAGCTAATACTAGGAGATGCATACTGAATACCATCCAGCATTTTCTCACAAGGCTAATAAATTTAACCAGTGACAAAATAGCATGATGACCACTGCGATTTAACAGAAGCTTTTATCATCCACCTCACTTAATTAATTCTGTACATAATCGCTATTAAGTTATCAATTGATACATCGAATCTATATCTTTAGCTTAATAAAAAATAAAAAAAAATTGAATAATAGACAAAAAAATTATAAAATTCTTGGCTTCTGTAAAAATGTGGGTCAACATTCTACAACATTAAATATTCGTATGTACAATTTGCAGTGGACCTTGATTGTCAATGGGTTTGTAGATCATTTAAATATCGAGAATATCTTTCATTACAAAAGCATATAATTTATTCTACAATCTCGCGTATAAGGTACCACATTAAATTGTAAAATGACTACACTCTCTTACCTCTTGGCAAGGTGTTGTTCCCGATTTCGAAGATACTTTCTCTGGAAGGTGTGCTGCGCGATCCAGGGCTATTTGGTGTTCCGGGATTGGAAGTACTAGCAGAGTCTCTTTTTGAAAATATATCCGCATCACGATTCAGAGAATGTTTAAATTGTGATTCCGAGAGTCGTCTGTACGCACAAGAAAACGATAAAAAAAACGTTACTTCTATAAAGATGTTTGTACAATAAGTTATCGTTATGAGTGTAAATCCGCTTATTACGAAACATATGTTAGAAAGGAAAGCAAAAGATATTTACATTCAGTGGAAAATCTTTTGTGATATGGGAGGAAAAGAGAGAGAGAGAGAGAGAGAGAGAAAATGCAAAATAAATTGGAGTCTACAAAGGCAAAAGTCTCACTAGTATCAGTACTGGCAGAGAAGTGTTGGCAAGAAGCAAAGAGTGTCAGCCTATGCGGATTGATAGCAGGTATTTCGGGCTTGTTTATTTTCACAACACTACTGTGTACACTATTCTCAAATATCTGATGAGGCACATGGTTAAGCCAAAATGAACAAATTAGGTTAATACAACGTGTATATATACATATATGTATATATACATATATATATATATATATATATATATATATAAATATACATATATACAAACGTATATGTACAAATATGCGATCAAATTATTAACCTGCTTGCAGTGTGTGTCCAATTGCAATTTCTGTATTTCGTTTTATTAACGGCAATTCTTACTACTTATATCTCAGCTAACAGGCGCGTACACTAAGTTTTCTATTACAATTTCTTTCTATACAATTGGACTCACGTAGTCATAGTCCGTGTTTCGACATAGCTCTCGTAGCTTGCACAGACAAGCATAAAACCATTATTTCTCATCATTATCATTGTTAAAACATAAAATTAAAGTTTTTTTAAATAACAAATTATGGAAGTTAATGGAAGTTTTATCGAAATCTAAGCATTAGTTCAGCAAGCTCATTCGTATATGCCTGCGATATATTATTCCAATTGTGGAAATCTATTCCTCGTACGAATAATAATTCGCGTATTTACCTGGACAATGGTTTATTAAGACCCCAAAACGCTTGTGACGATTGGGAGCCGAGTCTGCCGAACAGTCTACTGCTTGGAAAACCGCCAGATCGATTGTCATCAACGTTAAGTCGCTGCGTCAGACTTCGCACTCTAGATAGTAACGTAGAGAACAAGTTTTCGGCAGTCAATAACTCGAAACCGTCATCATCGTCGTCCTCGCCAGACGACAAGCTATCGGCGTGCTCGGATGGTTGCCTGGACGGTCGCGAACTTCTCAATCGATGCATATGTCTTTGCAATAAATCCTCCCTATCGAGAAAAGAAAGATTACAAAATGTAAGCTTAGTCAAATCTGAATTTTTACAATATTTACTGTTAGCTAATGTTCTTAAACTGTATCATTACGAAAGGAGTTTATCCATTTTAGGCGATTTGGGAAGCACGCAGAGTTGGGCTCATTTTTTCTCTTTTACTCAATTTTACTTGCTGATTCCAAATATCATAATTAAAATAGTTTTAGCATCCGGGAAATATAATTTTGGAATATATTTTGACAGAAGAATGCAATGATTTTATCATTTTGTCGAGCCATATCTGTGAATTTTTTTTGTTTTTATAAAAATGTGTTTTGATATTACCTAAACCCTCATATTCTTTCTCATTAAGGTTTGGGAATCTGCAAGTTATCATAAGTTATGTATACATTTTGCATCGAAATATCTCGAAAAATATAAAAAATATGGAAAAATGTTTCAGACAAAAGTTGTACGGTCTGAGAAAAAAAAAAAAAAAAAAAAATGTAGTTGTATATTGCAATTGCATATTTTTTTAGAAGTAACTGAGTGTTTTCTTTATACCAATCGAATAATCTCCTTATTTTGTGCATAAAAATATTAATATGATACAATTATCAAGAAATCAATAATTTACAGATATTTTATATTACAGTTATTTTAAGATATTTTATATTTTACGTCGAAATATGTTATGATAAAGAATATCTCGTAAACTACTGAATTTTCGATAGTTTTACCTTAATATTTTTATATACAGAATAATTAAAAGAATCATACAATATAAAAAAAATTATAATTCCATATAAAAAAAATAGCGATACCTTTTGACTTCAAAAAATTGATTTTTCGAAAAGTATTTTTATTATTGTTCCCTTTCAGACTGTACAACTTTTGTCTGAAACTTTTTTCTATATCTTTTATACTTTTCGAGATACTTTGGTGTATAAGTTAAAACGTATATATAACTTAAGGTAACTTGCAGGTTTCCTCAAGCTTTGATGAGAAAGGATGACGGGCTTAGGTAACATCGAAACATACTTTTATAAAAAACAAAGAGATATTCGTAGACATGGCTCGAAAATGATAAACCTAACCATTGCTTTCTTCTGTATATCCCAATATATCCAAAAATTATATTTCCCGGATACTAAGACTATGATTTTTGAATTCAGCAAATAAAATTGAGAGTAAAAAAAAAAAGATAAATCCAACAATTCCTGTGTTTCCTAAATCGCCCAAAATGCATGAACTCCTTTAATAAATCATCAAGATTAATTATATTATTTACCCGTGCAACGGAGAGAAAGGAGACTCGTCTTCGCTAGCATCCGACAAAAGAGAGCTCATTCTTCTTGGTCTAACAAATCGGGATCTCGGTGGATTCGTACTCGTAGTCGGTGTACTGGTCGTATTTTCCGGCTCCAGACTACCTGACCTAGGAGTAACGTAACCGCCACCTTCTACCGCGATAGGAATTATGTACTCTCTAGGACTCTTTCTAATTGGTTCCGGTCCTACAGTTGAACCGAGAGCGCTGTCCGTGTCTGAATCGGCGGTTGATTGACGAGACAGAGAACCTGATTGTTGAGACATTGATCTCTGGGACATTGGCGGTTTAGGCGGTGGTGTGGATGAATGCTGCGTACGCTCAAGTCCTGCTTCTACCTATATTTTTGATGCAATGCGATTTTACAGATGCAAAAAAATTTTATTTCATCATTTCTCAAATTTTAAAAATATATGCTTTCAAAATAAACATGAGTTGATTTCTCCATACCTGAATAGGTATAATTCTTTCTCTGGGCGGTGCAGCCTTAGGTCTGCCTTCCGGTTCTAAGCTTGAACTTCTGTTTGCATGAGGCACCGCTGCGGCAACCGGGAATGCCACCTCCGATCTCTGCGTGCGCAGTTTCTGCGGCTGAAAAGCATCAATTTTAGCTTCTACCTCAGACTTGAACGCTATAGTTTCTGGTGGTCTGACTCCGGACAACGTTATTTCAGCTTTGCTTGTTTTTCGTCTGGGTAATGTTGCACTTTTTAATGTTATTTCCATTTTACTAGATATCTTCGGTTCCTCCAATTGCGAATTTTCGATACCAGTTATGTCAGATGTAGTACTAGTGATCTATTAAAAACAGAGGGAGAAACAAAAGAAAACAAAATTAGATGGAAATCAAACGTGTAGATAATACACTAACAATAGCATTTTAGTTGATGCTTACAGTTGCTTCTGGTGCTGCTGCTGCTGCTACTGCTGCTGACTTCACATCAAGGTCGAATTTTGTCTCGATCGGCGTGGAGACCGATACCATGGCCGATCGTATGTCATTCGGCGCAACCTGTATCTTCAGTCCGAGTTTTTTAGAGGACTCCAGGCTCTGAGGCGATATTGAACTCGGTGATGAGCCGTTCAACTTCTTCTGCATTGGAGGCTTACCAATCGCACCACTAATGATATCGATAGCACGTTTCTTCGCTTCGTCTCGCTTATCCGATTTATCTTCAGTGGCCGTGATCTCTCGATGATCTCTCCCCGGTGTCTGCTTCTGCTCATCCTTCTCGCCTTTCTTGTTGACTGGTACATCAATGATAACTTTGGACGCGCTGGCTTTCGTAGGAGGCGACGTGGTGGCTGCGGATGAGAGACTGGCCTTTCGTTCGAAGGCTCGTTTCGCGCCTCCTACGTTAACGCCGGGAATAAATATCTTTTTAGGTTTCTCATTTTCCGTAGTAGATGACAACTGATTGAATTTTTCAGCCGTTTCAAATATTTTGGAACGTCGTCTCTCGACGGGTTTAGCAGGTAGTAGAGCCACTTCATTCGACAGCTCGGAATCTAAGGAGAGCGCCTTTTCCTTCAGCTTTTTGAAATCGTTCTCCGTTGGTTCTAATTGTTGCATATCTTGCGACATTTCGTTTTTGACACTCGTGTTGCTTTCAATTGGCACTTTTGATTTCAGATCACTCGACTTTTTCAACACTACCTCATTCGATACCTTATTCATGTTTTCTGAAGCAGCCTTCTCAATCGCGTCTTCATATAAACTCTTATCAGGAGACTCGACACACTTTTGCTGCGACTTGTCTTGCTCATCTTCGCTAACCTTTTGATTAATCTTACAGATCTGCTGAGCTGAGTTTTCGGTAGACATTAGCTCAGCACGTGGCTGTTGATATTCGTTTATCAACGGAGTTTTACTCCTTTCTTTACTTGGCGATCTTTCCTTTGATTCTTCAATTAGCTCTAGACAAGCTGCCTCTATTTTATCAAAATCAACAGTCTTACTCATAGGAACAGTTACAATGGCTGTCGGTTCTACCTCCATCGCCTCCTCCGATATAGAATTTGGAATTGGAGCCGAATGATGCCTAGAATAATACCAACGACATATTTGTATTATTATGTCTCTTCATATTAAATGTTAATGGTTTAATAAGTAAAAAATTATTTCAAAAACAAATATACCTTGATGAAGATCTGTACGCCCTAGGCTCTCTCTCGTCTGACTTTTCTTTCCTTCTCGATCTCTCTTTCCTTTTCACGCCCGCCGCGGCCGTCTCGTCCATCGACGGTGTTGTCTCCAATTTTCTCTTTGCGTCACCAGTAGCGGAACACCTCGGCTCCTCCTCGTACAATTCTCTTATCCTTCTGTCGGAGCTATTCTGGTCGAGCTCCATTAAGCTGCCGACCGAATGGCATCTAGTAGGCACCAACGTTTCGGAAGACATATTATTTGCAACATCTCCACCTGCCTGCTGATCGCCCCCTACTAGTAATTTCTCGGCACTGGCTGACTGTGGCACTAGAGAGAGCAATAGATCCAATCGAACTGGAGTCTGAGCTGCCAAATCCTCAGCGATATCGAGACAATTTTGCTCGTAACCTTCGTTCACCCACCAGTGAGTGCAAATTCTCTCGATATCGGCACGCCTACCGGGACACACCGTGAGCATCTCCTTTATAAGCGGCGATGCGGCTAAAGCGGGAAAGCGGAAAAAGATTGAATTAAATTAAATTGAATTGTCACTAATACTTTATATAAATTCCACAAGTGAAAGTTAAATTGACTTCAGTTCACGAGATTATCGAGTCTGACGCTAATCTAATATCCGATAAAATTTCTCGAAATTTATATTTTAGTTTAGATCTTTTTTTATAGAGCCGCACGAGTTGAGTAGCGCATGCATACACGTGTTATACTCACGAGATGGCTTTTTGGGCTCGAAATAATCGGATTGCGAAATCTGCTTGACTAGTCGTTTGAAGTTGGACCCATCGAAGGGCATAGCACCGTAGACCAATGTATACAGTAAAACACCTAGACTCCAGCAATCCACTTCTGGCCCGTGATAAGGAGTTCCTTTCACTATCTCTGGACTCGCGTATAATGGACTGCCACAAAATGTGTTTAATAATCGCTGCTCGTCGAACACGTTCGAAAGACCAAAATCGGCTATCTTGGCGTTTCCAACTTGATCCAATAAAATGTTCTCGAGCTTCAGGTCTCTGTGGCAGATTTTGTGTTTATGGCAATAGAAAACAGCTGTGGCTATCTGTCGGAATATTCTGCGAGCCTCGTGTTCGTTCAAAACTTTGCGCTCGCTCAGATAATCGTACAGTTCTCCACCGGCTGCATACTCCATCACCAGCACCATTTTCTCTCTGTTTTCAAACACTGTAAAAGTACGAAGAAGAAAAGTTGTCAAGAATCTCGCTAAATAACGAAGAAGGAGAATTTAATCGAGATTAATATTAACTATAGCTTATAAATAGCACATTTCACTCCTACATTTGTGTCATGGTGTTATCCAAATCATAAAATCGTATTAGCGTGTCACACAAACGTTACCTTCGTAGATGTGAATAATATTCGGATGTTGAACACTCGACATGATCTGTATCTCTCTTCGTATTCTGATCAGATCAGCCTCCGTTTCTATTTTGCATTTTTTAATTGTCTTTATCGCCACTTCCTGACCAGTCTCTTTGTTTATTCCTAATTGCACCTTACCGTAGGTGCCTTGCCCTAATTTCTTTATAATGTCGAACCTGCGAAACATTTCGAGACGAGAATATTAGACGGTGTGATTGTCTTATTGCTAGACATTACTCTAATTGAATCTAGCTGCGGAATGCAAATTTGTAATGGCAATTTATTTATTGAATTAATCGCTACTTGATTATTAAACTTTATTCATCTGAAGCAATCAGAGATTTGAAAAATTATTGCAACATTTTGTATTTGGCAATTATTGAAATCGTTTCTTAAATTTTTTTTTTTTTAAGCCATACATTTGGAAACATGTTTGTATAAGTAGAAAAGTATATTACACAACTTATCGACTAGAATTGACTTACAAACCTTTGCTTCAGTTTCCGCTTATGATTATGAAGCCGCACACCACCCGTACTCTCCATCCCTCCCATTATATTATGTATACTTGCTTCTCCGACAACCATCTTATCCGCGTTTATCTGGATAAAAAAAAAATATTACAGATTTAACGTAAATATTTCATTTTAATTTCAGTGTGATTTCGAGATATCAATTATCATAGCACGATTCTTCTTTTTTTTTCTCTATCTTTCTGTTCAAAATTTCTTTTTATAGTTACTTCCTGCCTCTCAGGCGAAACTGTTGGTGCGGATAGCCCTACTCTCTTGTAAACGAAAATGACAGCGGCGAATGGTAGTTATAGCCATCTAAATCTTACATTAAGAAATGAAGAAAGCAAAAGCAAAGAGATGAGAAAAGGGGGGAGAGAGAGAGAGAGAGAGAGAATGTGGTAAGTTTATTTCGAGCGTCGAGACGCCAATGTATGTGCCGACACATCGGTGGGTTTCTTCTCTGCAGTTTCCTTGTCCTCCCTTACACGTAAAAAGATTTCTCGTCTCTAATTTCGTAAATTATACAGAAAAATTCTTTAGGATTGCGTTTTTTATAATAACGTATACCTTAACTGAGCGAAATAATTGTCAATATCTCTACATTTCTTCATCAATTATTTACATACGAATGGTAGGAATTACATGCTGATGCAATTACATGTTGTAGGGGATTTGATAAAAAGATGAATATATTGAAATTGCAATATGATAGTAAAATGTAAATAAAAAATAGCAAAGTCTTAGCACGTGCGACATAGAATAGTTATACGTTTTGCAAAAGATTGCGGAAATAAAGCGAGATCTGCAAAGAGTTTAAAAAAATCTAAACTTCAGATTACTCATATTCTATTAGGCTGTAATTTATTAAAATGAAGATGTCCCCGTAACAAAATATATAGCATACTGTTGTGACCAGTTTGTTCAATATATTATAATATATATTAACAAACTGAGAATTAATTCTAAATTTTATATACATAATCTTGTTTCTCTCTTCTCGAGCACTTAATCTTTATTCTATATGCGTACGACTCTATATGTTCTCTGTATATACTTATGTCACTTTAGTTAGTCGAAATCGTTAATTTCTCTTCGAGCGAGAATTTTTCGTGGCCAATAAAATAAAATAGTTAAGCACTCGCATAAATTATGCAAATTTTGTCAAGACTTGACATTGGTTGACCGGCGAAACATCGCATAAATCATAGATATATATAAGTAGTAGTATAGTATAGTATAGTAAGTTTCCAAAGTGCATGAATCTATCGTATCCGTTGATATAAATACTGAAATATCGGTCAAAATTCGAATTACTAGCATTGCAGAAGTTGTGAATAAAAGATCGAAGATAAATAAGAGATTTGTCAGTTACGTTATAAGAATCGAAATAAAAACAAATATTGACATTGCGCGATTGACAATGAATGGTAGGCACTTGGTTGCTCCGGCCAAGGTCCACCCTTGGAAAATGAGATGAATTTGAAGGAAGATGATTCTACCAACTTGTCCGAAGGACGATTCTCATCCAAGATGAGAGACGACGAGAAAGTCTCGTCGTTCGGCTATTAATGCATCGTATCGCGCGATGGCAACGAGTAACTCGAGTACGCTTAAGTTCAGGCGCCACATTCAGACGTAGAATACGTTACTCGCTTTTGCCTTCTGCCGCATGAATAACGGCAGCAACGTACCGCCCGCGTCCGAGGGTGAACGAAACCGAGAAAGTGACTGCAGATCACGACACTGCAATACAGCATCGTCTGTTGCCGATTACGGTTGGAATAGGCAAGCTTCCGTTCGAATTATAACCATATTTGTAATACGCAACGTTGTAATATCAACAAATTATCATTGATATCGCTTGGATTCGGAAAAATCGACAATGAAAATTGCCAAGTCGCCGCTCCGCTCTCCCGATCGGTCGCTCGCTCAACGCTGCGTTACGGTATTTTTAGCGAGAGCGTAGACCCGTGGTGGTAAAGCTTCCGTCGGCGCGGCGTGGCGCGGTCATCTCCAAAGATCTCAACTGTGTGTGATTCGAGCCTTAACTAACCATTTTCATCTCTTCGTTCGCGCGCAATTAGTCCATTTCTGATCACTTTAGTGATCATTTCTTCCCGCGTGTTGACAATAAACCAACTGTTTCTTGGAGAAAACTAATCGCGAAACATCTGATTTATCATTTTACATCTGTATTATTATTTCAATTCAATTCTACTTTTGGATAAAATTAATAATCGCGATAAAATAGAACAGTTTTCCTGCACGCGTATTCGCACTACATATGTATCTAGGTACTTTTTATCGTGACTTGTAAATTTGTCACGTTTTTTTACTATTTCTTATTATATCTTGCCCTCAATTATTGTGTGAAATTATCGTCTGATTTACGCATGCTACTATTCTTTTCAATAGAATCGCCATTAACTTGGTCAAAGATGATCGATTTATGGATTAATACGTTCTCTCTCTCTCTCTCTCTCTCGCTCTCTTTGTCTCTTGGTCTCAAAAGTCAGTTCGTCATCGAGGTACAACGTGTTTGAAATACGCAATCGCAATATCACTGCGCTCGTGAATCAATCTCTTGTAATTAATTCATTAAGGTATTATTAAAAAAAAAAAACCATCGTTACTTTCGTATTGGTCGATTAGAAATTAGTCTAGGTCTAGGTGAAACCTACAGGGCATTGTAAAACATCGACCATTAAGTTGAATGAATTCCTTCGTAGAGATGTACTCTCATTATATTGCGCGACAATACCTAATACCTATAGCTATACAATATCGAGGGCTACATATGATATGATAAGTTTAAAGTTGCCGACAAATACTTGGGTTGTTCGATTCCAAGAATCTCGCTCCGAAGATTCCGCGATCGCGAATTCACACGATTCGGATGATTACGATCCGATGGGACGTCATGTCATATCTGATACATCCTTGAGATTTTTGTAAAGCGCGCAAGAGTAAAGGATAGTCGAAGAATCCGACTTGATCGGGTCAAATAAAACGTGCGTGAACATGAGTGAAACGTATATGCGCGAATATGTGTACAGATGCGATATGTATGAGCGGGAGCGAAACGCCGCTATCGCATACACGGTATGTAGGTTTGTATCGACGAAAATAGCGTTCCAATACCTCGAGGAAATCCTTTCCGATAAGCCATTTACGGAGAGCAGTTGGTTCGAACTTGCGATTACGTACGATACGTAATACACGACGCGTCTACCATATATGATATATGTGCCTATGTGTATGTATGTATTTCTTTTGTGTGTGAGATGTTCCTTTTTTATCGTTGGGTAACCGCACGACGCCCCCACAATCACCCACAATAGCGAGAGATCAAGAGACGTTTCTTTCGACACGTAATTATACTTGTAATATCTTTTCTAATAATGTTCTGACAATAGTGTGTGCGTATTATATGTATAATTAAAATACCCTGAGATTGCTATCATATGTATTTTCAATACAGTCAACGTCATGTTTTGTTCTAGATAACGTTACCATCTTTATGCACCATGTTGTATAGAAATTGTTCTTCTTTCAACAATGTTGCGTCACGAAAATTTATCTCTTTCAAATATATTTCCCTGTACTGTGTTTAATTACTATATTCCTTCGATATCTTTACTTTTGTCTTAACATTGTCCTGGTATCGGTAAAATAACACTATATACTCATTGTATTATTGATTTTTCCAATTTTTCCCTTTAGATTAGATTCTGAACTTTGTAATTATTTTGAGATGTATCAATGATTAAATTATTTCAGATGTCAGCCAAGAGTACACCAATTAATTTAAAAAAAAGTAGAAAATGGAATATCAAAAAAAATTGATGGTGACTAAAATAACACATAAAATACATCATTTTGCAATTAATTAAAATTATCGTAAAAATCCTCAGAAGCACTATTTACTCTCTCCTTTTGAAATTCAGCTTTTTCAATTATTCCAACTTTTCTCCGTATTTTCGCCGCTTCAATATCTCTTACTGACTTTTCCTTTTCCTCTAATAATTCTCGAATAGCCTGACATTTGCGTCAGCATGATTAACCACGATTTTCTAGCCTTTCTCCGTAGATCTCACAACGTTCCATCATTTCGTTTCTCTCTCTCTCTCTCTCTCCCAACCTTCCATATTCCCTGACCGTAATGGATAATAAATTCGTCGCGGATGTCGGTCGCCCACGGAGACGACGAAAAGCTTTGAATGGGAATCACCGAGGAAGACGCGCATACGTATGTACGCACACACATTCATGCCGGTTGCAGCGGACCGGCTAAAAATAGCGGGAATTCGTACCTTACGAATGTATGAACTCTGTACGAATATGTGAACTCTAGAGCACGGATTATTCCCTCTCCTTGTTGCTCTCTCTCGCTCTTTTTCTTTCCTCTTTCATCCGACTGTCTGTCTGTCTGTCTATACGTCTTGTCTGCCCGTCCGTTCGTCTTCGCGGACTTCGCGGTCCTCGAAGAAGTACTGTCCACCAGCGAGCGAGACCGCACCGTAATTTCTCACGCACACTCTGGAACGAGCCTTTGTCATTTGCCCGTAATGCCCGTCACACGATGAGGTTCCATAAGCTTTTCTGGACGATCACTAGGCGCACGGTATGTTTCCACTTCATTTTGTCGAGCACTCCTCGCGAGACGTTTAAGTTGAGGAACACAAGCAGGACGACGACACGGCGCACGGCTCGAACGCTGCCATCGCTCGTCTTTATTTACTAATTTTGGACGTGAGACGTGAACGCCAGGAAACAGGGCGCTCGGCTCGGACCGCATCGACTATGGCGCCACAGAAAGCGGATTAGCGGTGTGTATTAAGCGAGTCTAGCGACGAATCTGCACACCGACCGCGCCAATCGCGTCAAGTACCACCAATCGATCATGGAGAAAGTGCGCTCCATTTAGCGACACAAGCGCACACTGCTCACTCTGTCTTATTTCAACGTTCAATGACAACAAAGAGAGAATGATGCTTGTGTCGCTAAATGGAATTGTCGCACCTATGCGACAATTGAGACGACATGTGAATTCGCTCATCAAGTGATTTTCTGTTTTGATATGTATAATCAAAGCTGCATATGATTTTGGCGATTTAGGCGACATAAGCACCGCCCTCCAATCAGTGGCAATCGGACGGGACAATGAGATGATTCATCGAGCAAGTCCATCTGGTAAGTCTGGCAACAGTGGCAACTGCTGGCAACTCTGCAGGTGTATTGAACGACGATAACCTCAAAAACCTCAAAAACGGTCCAATTTACTGGTTTATATAAAAAGAACCCCCCGAATTTGCTGGTAAGAAAAGCTCCTTACCTATATTATAGCTCTTGCCATCAAGCGTGAAGAAGAGGAAAACTGTCAAAAACGAAAAACGATGAGCAACGATGAGCGGTCCTCGTGTCACCGTAAAAGGAGGAAATAGCTTTGAAAAACAAGCGAGTGCACATGTGGCTAACATGGAATTGATTGAAAATTGCGATAATAAGGCGAGCGTTTTGCAAAATGACGAAATTGAAGCCGAAAACGACGATGGGCCAGCTCACTTTATTCCTGGCTATGCAACTTTTGACGATTACCTTCAGGTATATTTGTTCGCTCATACGCTTTACGCAACTAAAATAACACAATGTTAATAGAATCATAAAATGCAAATAAATGTATTTCAGGATGCGTTTGACTCGATGAGAGCTGGAATTAAGGCAGCTAATAATCTGCCTGTTGGAGACAATTTCAATTACTACGCTTGCTTTCCAAGCTTTAACGATGCCAGACATAAAGATACAGAGAGAATGCTGGCTACAATGCAAAGTATAATGAAAATAGTAGGAGGTTCTAGCAACATCCATAACACAAATCGAGACATTAACGAAAAGTTTGATCTTTTATTGGAAGCAAATGATCAACTGCTAGATCAAGCTGTGAGCATCTTGTAAAATTATATGTCAAAGTTTGAATTTTGTTGATTTAATTTCTTAATAATTTCTCTCTCTCTCTCTCTCTCTCTCTCTCTCTCTCTCTCTCTCTCTCTCTCTCTCTGTTACAGAATATATTGATGGATGAGGAAAGTGGTATTTTACGAAATCCTCAAGTAGAATTGGTTGTATCACAAATGCCAAAACCAGTTGTGAACGGTACTTGGAATATAAGGACTAATCATACTGAGCAAATACAAGTTTCAGATGGTTCGGAGAAAGTACGGTTGTTGGGTGGGAAAAATGTACAAAGACCACAGTTAATGTTTAAGGATAAAATTGACAACAGTTTAAAGCCATGGATGCCTCGAATTAAAGAAAAACCAAACTCTCTGAAGCCATTGGCTCTTTACGTCGAAGAAGGTGAACATGGCGAGGTCTTCAATCATCCTTATGAGTTTGAACTGGATAAATTTGAAACGCCGGAATGTCAACTGAAGAAGAAAATATCCGTGAAATATAAGTCATTGGACGATACCAAATTCGTATTCATTGACAAACCAGCCGAGATTAGGACTCTTTTAGAGGATCTGAGAAATTATATGGAAATAGCTGTGGACTTGGAACATCACTCCTACAGAACATTTCAAGGCATAACTTGCCTGATGCAAATATCAACGATAAACACCGATTACTTAATCGATACTTTAACTCTGCGATCAGAATTACATCAACTTAACGAAATTTTTACAAAACCTTCCATCTTGAAGGTCTTTCACGGTGCCGACAATGACATTCTGTGGCTTCAAAGGGACTTGTCCCTCTATGTAGTCAACATGTTTGATACCCATCAAGCTGCGAAACAGCTCAATCTACCTTATCTCAGTTTGGCTTACCTGTTAAACAAATATTGCGGTATAGATCCTAATAAACATTTTCAATTGGCCGACTGGCGTATAAGGCCTTTACCGTTAGAACTAATGAAATATGCAAGAGAAGATACGCACTATCTACTTTATATTAAGGACATGCTGAACAACGAGTTGATTGACGCGGCTAACGGCAAAAGTAATATTTTGAAGGCTGTGTATGATGAAAGCACTGAAATTTGTAAGCGCACGTACATGAAACCAATTTGGACAGAGGAAAATTGTATCAACATGTACAGGAAGAGTCAGAAGTCGTTCAACAATAAACAGATGTATGCGCTCATGGAATTGCATAGATGGCGAGATCTCACCGCGAGGGAAGAGGATGACAGTATTGGTTACGTATTGCCGAATCACATGCTGCTCAATATAGCTGAGACGTTGCCACGCGAGATGCAGGGTATTCTGGCATGCTGTAATCCAATCCCGCCATTAGTGCGACAAAATTTACTGAAAATACACAAGATAGTGCTGAAGGCTAGGGAGCAGCCGCTTGTCAAATCTATTCCTGAGCAGGATATTCGGCAGAGACCGACACAACGAAATCACGCGGAAGACGCACACACCGGGGGGGCTTCCTTATATATACCCCATGATGTACCGAGTGGTACAGAAGCGAGAGCAGACTTGCCATGTCTTTTGGATAAGAATATCATGCCATTAGAGATGAACAAGTGTCAGATGGAGAAGCATACTGTAACGATATTTGATACACCACCAGTTACTACATCAGAGGTGAATACGATACTATAAGATAATCGTAGATAGGAAATTAAAAACGCGTTGGACATGCGTGCGTGCGTGCATGTTATGTGAATGTTGCCATCTCAACTTTAACCCTTCTCTCTATAACCGGGGTAAATTTATAAATATGCTAGAAATAATAAAAGTACTTTATTTAAACAAAATATTTCTAAATTTTTAATTATTTTCGAAGTAAATCATACATTTAGTTATATTTTGACAATGTTCGTCACAAACCGGTTTATTGCAGTCAACACAAGCTTTTCTAGTTTTTCTGCGTTTTCGAATTTCTTTGCTGCTACATATATAACAGGCACCAATAACTTTCTTTCTTCCTGTCGAATCCCTTACTGCATTTCTAGATGTGGAAGGCAAAGTAGTTTCATACTATAACATTGACAGGTTTTTGTAACATGCATTCGATGCCTGATCTCGTGGCGAAATGTCTCATTATTTGCATGTTTTGCGATCGATCTTGAATCATTGGAAGACAATTCTTCTCCGAATTGACGCAAAAATGTGCCGTGCATCATTTTTTTTT